CTGTTTGAAGCTTTGGAGAGCTGATTCAGTGCTTTAAAAACTTCATGTTTTGATGAAGACCCAATTCTCAAGTCTGGTTGGTCGAAAATGGGGAGAAAGGCAGTACATCAGTGCTGCTAGGCAGTTCTGCGCACCTCTGTTGTGAAGATCATAACTCTCTGCTCCGAACTCAGAATGATGAGCCACTTGAAGATTTGGAAAGCTGATTCAGAGCTCTAAATCTTGCATGTTATGAGGGAAGTCCAGTTCTCGAGTTTGGAAGGTCAAAATGGCAAGCAAAGTCCAGGCTCTACTGCTGCCAGAATTCAGCATTGGCACCCTTTTGTTGCTCAAGACTCCACAAGGCCTTATTCTTGTTCCATTTTGGCCAATGAACCTGAAAATGCATAAAAACATAGAATTGGAGTTGATCTACATAAAATAATTAATAACTGGACTTTGTTAATGTAATTTAGGGCGCTTGAATATACATTATTCGGCGCTTATCAGCCTGATCAACCCGTGTTTCGGATCGGAGGGGTATCACATATTGAGACTACAAATGAAAGAAATGTAGAATATCTCTACATTACTTCCATTACCTCAGGCAAGAAGCCAATATTAAAAAAACTGTTTTCTCTTCTAGGTTATACTATACAACAATTAGAACAATTGAGTCAAATGTTGTGACATAAAAAATCCTGTGACCCAAAACTTTTTATGCTTTGGTATGATTGACGTGGTCACCCGGGAAGTACAATGATGTGTCGAATTATTGAAAATTCACATAGACACCCACTAAAAGATCAAAAGCTCATCTTACCAAATAATCATCTATGCACCGCCTGCTCACAAGGTAAGTTGATTATCAGACCATCCCCTTCAAAAGTCATTGTTGAGTCTCCCCTATTTTTGCAACGAATTCACGGGGATATATGTGGGCCAATTCATCCACCTTGTGGACCATTTCGCTATTTTATGGTCTTAATTGATGTCTCAACATGATGGTCACATGTTTGTTTACTTTCTATTCGTAATGTTGCATTTGCTAGACTTTTTGCTCAAATCAACAAATTACGAGCATACTTTCCTGATTACCCAATTAAGACAATCCGTCTTGATAATGCCGCTGAATTTTCTTTTCAAGCTTTTGATAATTTTTGCATGTCAATTGGAATTAATGTTGAACATCTCGTTGCACACACTCATATTCAAAATGGTATGGCTGAATCTTTTATTAAAAGATTTCAGTTAATTGGTCGTCCTTTGCTTATGCTAACAAAATTACATGTTTCTGCCTGGGGTCATGCCATATTACATGCTGCATCATTAGTTTATATACGACCAATTGCTTATCATAAGTACTCACCATTGCAACTTGTTTTTGGTTAACAACCAAATATATCTCACATACGAGTTTTTGGTTATGCTGTATATGTGCCAATTGCACCACCCCAACGCACTAAAATGGGTCTTCAATGTAGATTTGGAATTTATATTGGTTTTGATTCTCCATCTATTATTAGATATCTTGAACCCCTGACAGGTGATGTCTTTAAAGCACGATTTGCTGACTGTTATTTTGATGAGACTGTTTTCCCGCCATTAGGGGGAGAAAAGGCACAGCAGCAACGTGATATTACTTGGAATGCCCTGAAATTGTCTCATTTTGATTTTCGCACAAATCAATGTGAACGAGAAGTTCAGAGGATCATTCACTTGCAAAATTTTGCAAATCAACTACATGATGCATTTACTGATACAAAGAAAGTAACAAAATCACATATACCAGCTGCAAATATTCCAGCATGAATTGTTGTCCCTGAGGGACCTTCTGTTAGTAATGCTGGAAATACATTTAAAACACGCCTGAAGCGTGGTAGATCAGTCGGTGCAAAAGTTACTACTCCTCGTAAGAGGAAATCACAAAAAAAAAACTGGCACTCCTGAAGAGGCCATAAAAGGAGCAACAAATATTATTGATCAATCCGAGATAATAGCCTTTAATAAGGCAGAGGCTCTTGATGAGTCTCAAGTACCTAAAAATGATGAAATAATAAATATTGATGAGGCAAAGGCAACAGATGATGATGTGGCCCTTGATGAGGCACATGCCCTCTTGATGAGACAAATGTACCTGAAAATGATGAGATCTCACTAAATTATGAAATGAGATGGAATAGAATTGAAATTGTTGTCGACAACATATTCTCATATGTCGTTGCTCTTGATATTGATAATGAGGATCCGAAACCTTAAAACGTCGAAGAATGTCGACGAAGAAATGATTGGCCAAAATGGAAAAAAGCGATACAAGTTGAGCTAAATTCATTAGCTAAACGTGAAGTATTTGGACTAGTAGTTCAAATACTTGAGGGTGTTAATCTTGTTGGGTACAAATGGGTGTTTGTACGAAAGCGTAATGAGAAAAATGAAATTGTGAGATATAAAGTCCGACTGGTAGCTCAAGGTTTCTCACAGAGACCTAGTATTGATTATGAGGAAGCATACTCCCCTGTGATAGATGCATCCACATTTAGATTCATAATACATTTGGCAGTCACAGAAAGATTGCATATGCATCTAATGGACGTGGTTACAGCATATTTATATGGATCACTAGATAGTGCTATTTATATGAAAATCCCAAAAAGATTTAAAATGCCTGAAACCAAACCACGTAATATGTACTTGATTAAATTATAGCGATCCTTATATGGATTGAAGCAATCTGAACGAATGTGGTACAATCGCCTTAGCGATTACTTACTCAAAGAAGGGTATGTAAACAATCATATATGTCTATGCATTTTTATTAACAAATCAGAATTTGGTTTTTTGTTATTGTTGTAGTATATGTTGATGATCTAAATCTTGTGAGAACATTGTACGAGATCGAAAAGACGGCAACTTATTTAAAGAAAGAATTCGAAATGAAAGATCTCAGAAAGACAAAATTCTGCCTTAGGCTGCAGATTGAACATTTTTCGAGCGGTATTCTCATCCATCAATCAATATATACCGAAAAGATTCTGAAACGCTTTCATATGGATAAAGCCTATCCCATGAGCTCTCTAATGGTTGTTCGATCACTTGACATCAAGAAAATTCTTTTTGTCCTCAAGAGGATAATAAAGAACTCTTTGGTCCTAAAGTGTCCTATCTTAGTGCGATTGGTGCTCTTTTATATCTTGCAAATTGCACAAGACCTGACATAATTTTTCCAGTCAAATTATTAGCAAGATATAGTTCTGCACCAACCCGCAGACATTGGAATGGAATCAAGCACATATTGCGATATGTTTGTGGCACAACTGATATGAGATTGTTTTATTCAAAAGTATCAAGTTCTCAATTAGTTGGATATGCAGATGCCGGCGATCTCTCTGACCCACATAAAGCTTATTCACAAACAGGATATGTGTTTACCTGTGGCGGCACTGCTATATCATGGCGATCTATGAAACAGACAATGATTGCAACTTCTTCAAATCATTCTGAGATACTCGCAATTCATGAGGCAACCAGGGAATGCATTTGGTTGAGATCAATGATCCAACATATTCAAACAAAATGTGGTCTCTCATCAATAAAAGATAGCCCAAAAGTATTATATGAAGATAATGCAGCATGCATTGCACAGATGAAAGAAGGGTATATTAAAAGTGACAGGACCAAGCACATTTCACCAAAATTCTTTGATGCACATGAACTCCAGAAAAGGGGTAATATTAATATTCAGAAGATACGTTCATGTGAAAATCTAGCAGATCTATTCACTAAAACGCTTCCAACTACAATATTCAAGAAGCTGGTGCACAACATTGGAATGCGTCAACTAAAGGATCTTCAGGGTTGATCTAATGAGGGGGAGCAATTGATCGAAATGGTATTGACATACTGTACTCTTTTTCCTTTGTTCAAGTTTTGTCCCACTGTGTTTTCTGGCAAGGTTTTAATGAGACAGTTTTAATCTATGTAATGCCATTTTTAGATACACAAGAATACTGTACTTTTTTTCCTTTGCTAGGATTTTGTCCCACTGGGTTTCCTTAGTAAGGTTTTAACGAGACATATTCTTAGTGTAATATTGTGAACCCCAAAAGGGAGTGTTATCTATATATATATATATTTGTATAGAGTCCACAATGGATTATGTCATCCATAACGACACCTTTTGCGTGTAGAATAAGGCCACCCTTGTGGCTTACATGAGAAGTCTCATTGTTAGCCTATAAAAAGGCCATGTATGTATCTACTGCTGTGTGAAAAATAAAATATCAACTCTCTCTGTCTCTCTCCCCCTCTCTTCTTTGAAAGTTTTCTTCCTTTTATAATTTCTCACTTAATATTACTGTTTCTATATATATACATATACATATATTCATTACATCAGCATCAAAATTTCATTTATCAACACTTCCAATTCTGACATTCATCACTAGGTATTCATTTTTCAGAATCAGTTATGCATTTCTAATATCTTGTAAATATCAAAACATAAAATAAAGTGTCTATATTCGTTTTTTATATAACCAATCAATTAGTACTAATGTACTTTATCATTCTTCATAGTCCATTATTAAAAACTTATCAAATACTGCGTCGTTTGTTACTTTTTTGTTACCACAGAAACACCCCCCGTCTGATACTGCACCCTCGGGGAGGATGTTGTTTTTGATACTGCTATGGAATGTATTTGGTCTCGACTTTTTGATCCAAATGAAATTCATCCTTTCTTGCTTTAATTTGATATATATATATATATACAAACACACACACACACACACACACACACACACACACGAAGGATTTGATTGACAATCATTTGTGTTTTATGTTTATATTTTTCTCCAAAATAAGATTGCGACTGGATCAAACTCCTCCCGTTATCTTTGAGAAAGAAGTTCCAATCAATATTATAAAAGAAATAGCATCAACAGAAGTAGAGATAAAAGCTATATACAACTAATAGTAGTAATTAGTAAGAAACTAAAAGGGAAGGATAGTTAGTGACGTACCTCTAAGAAGCGAAGCTTATAAATTTGTAGAAACAGAGATACAACCAAGTCTGGTTTTAAACACACAACGTAGCAGATGAAGATGGAATATGGTATGGAAAATGATTATGAAATCAGGCTGTGCTTGTCTATTATAAAACAAATACCAGAAGTACAGATCAAAGCTATATACAACTAATAGTAGTGAAAAAACTAAAAGGTATAGTTAGTGGCGTACCTCTAAGAAGAGAAGCTTATAAATTTGTAGAAACAGAGATGCATGCAACCGGAGATGGATCACAAACACACACAAAACTCAACGCAGCAGATCGAATATGAAATCTAGCTACTACTGTGTCCCAATTACACCACAAAACTCAACGCAGCAGATGAAGATCGAATATGCTATGGAAAATGAAGATGAAATCAGGCTGTGCTTGTCTATTATAAAACAAATAGCATAAGTACAAATAAAAGCTATACACAACTAATAGTAGTAATTAAGAAACTAAACGGGAAGGATAGTTATAAGTGACGTACCTCTAAGAAGCGAAGCTTATAAATTTGTAGAAACAGAGATGCAACCAAGTCTGGTTTTAAACCGGAGATGAATCACAAACACACAGAAAACTCAACGCAGCAGATGAATATCGAATATGCTGTGAAGGAAGATTGCATCTAGGGACTACTTTTTTTAAAGTGCTTTCTATCATTAATTGCCCCTCTCCTTTCTCTCTCTCTTTTTAACTTTTTCTAAAGTGCTTTCAATTATTGGCCTCTCTCTCTCCTTTATCTCTTTCAATTAAAACTTTCAATTTGTCACTGTACTGGATGACAATCATGCCACCCACCAAAGACGAGCAATAGTGTCGTCTTTCAATTTTTTCCAGTAGTTCCCAATCCACGCTCCGTGCACGTTCACACCATCCGGTCTTGAGTGGATTTAAATTATACACCGTGAGCACGTTTGAGTTTTTTTACTTTGGTCACTTTTGAAATTTAGCGCCTGTTAACCACATCCTTTATCTTTAATTAAAATTTTAAAAATAACGAAGTTACCATTTTTCTTATATTCAAAAACTTGAATAATTTTATATTTTAACATTTCATGACAAAAATACTATGAAATGCTACTAAAATGCAAAGTATTAATTTTCAGAAAAGATTTTTATTTTTTAGGTAATATATATATATATATATATTATTTATTTGGTAAAGGTCTAGGTTGAAGTTGAGGTCGAATTGATACATAAATTATTTTTGTTAAATTTTAATATATATTTTTTTATAAATATTTTATAACAATTAAATTTTAAAAAATAAAAATATATTTTTTAAAAAATATTTTATGACAATCAAATTTTAAAAAATAAAAATATATTTCAACCTTTTCTGACTCAAACTTTCATGCCCCCACCAATAGCACGCACGTTTATGATAATTTGTTGGAAATCAAGCAGTTTATGATATAGTAAGCAGTTTATGAAATAAATTAAGTTAGAAAATAAGTCTTCTATCACCTGTAGAGGACTTAGCTATATTCCCACCAATGAAAATTTGGGTATAATATATATCTAAAGATAAAAATATGGTAAAAAATAACTCTATCACCTCACTTGCAGAGAGTCGAGCAATTAATATCCTCCTCCACCAATGAACACTCAGCCAAAATAATTGCTCATGTACTATGAGTTCACATGGTGACCTGTGAATTTTTTGGGCTTACTGGCCATTAATCACATTGGATATGGACATATTAGCAAAATCATACATATATATATATATATATGATTGGGACCTCAGTCACATGTGGCTGGACTTGGATTGATTTATTATATGTTTTCAAAAATGCAGAAAACCATTTTTTTTTTTTTTTTTTTTTTTTTTTTTTTTTTTGACAAGAAAACGTTCCCCCACCCCACCCCCTCCCCCCAGGGGGATACATAAGACAAGAAAATGTTTGAAAGTAGTGTAGTTTGTATTGTCCGAGATATATATATATATATATATATATATATATATATGTGAAATAATGCAAGTTCAATATTGTCCAATATCAAGGTGGTGATATTGTTATTTCAGGTGGTCATAGTATCCCTGCTCTAGCGGTGATTCAAAGTTGGATGTGTTGAGAAACGTGCAAGTTTTAAAAACTTTTCGAGGGATTTTGATTTATAGATCTTGATTTATCACATACAGACAAATTTTACGCAAAAAATAAAAATATGATATATCATTCGATTAACAGATTGAATACTTATATCAAATGTCTGAGTAAACCTTTAAAACTTTCCTTTAAAGTGAATGTTCTCACTTATTGTAGATCCTTTAGCAAGATGCCTTCTTCTTGGATCTCTATCTTCTTGGTAATTGTTTTGCCTTTAGGAATCACTCATAAGCTTTCATGAATGACCTTGGAAAACGAGGCTTGTGGGAGCCTCCATTAGATGAGAACATAAACCCTAATTTTCTAGAGAGAGAAAATAAATTCCTTTTTCCTTCTCATTAAAAATCACCCTCTAAAATATACATAGACCATGTATATTTATAGGCAATATAAAAATAAAGAAAAGGAAACAACAAATCATTCTCCATCTCTAATTCATATGTCTCAAATCTAATATGATTCCAATATCAAGTTGGGCTATGAGTGAGAATCCATTGGGCCTATTATTTTATTGGCTACAATGAATTAATAATTGGCTCGGTCCATGGACCCAATTTAATTAATTCATAAATTAATTTCTACTCCACTAAAAGAAATTAATTGAACTCCAATTAAATAATAAATAACCTCTAAGTCAATATTGCACTTTGACCCCTCTATGCATAATTAGTTATCGGATAAATAAAGCCATTAATCCGACTACTTAATTAATATATCTATTTTGGTACCTCTGATTATTTCTGGCTCGATCACAATAAAACATTTGTTTGACAAAAATAATAATTTAAATAAATAAATATATAATAAATCATTTTGTCTAAAAACACACGAAGGCCTTCGAATTTACTTTGTGATCAACCATAATCAATACAAAATAAATACAAGTAGCAATGATGCAAATATTAAAAATATAACCCTCTAACTATTAATTACATAACTACCCAAAGTGTCGGTCTAAGGATCCCGAAGAATCCGCCGAACAAATCAAAGTAATTATTAATTAATAAAAGAGTCTATACTTTTCTCATGCTTAAGAGTCAAATGCCATGACGGTGATAGGGAGTAATTGTATACGACGGCTCTCGCAATATATCTCAACCTAACGCGAATCCAGTTCAAGTCTTAATTAATTATGAGTCCACCCATAATTACCGACTATGAACAATTTATAATTACTATTTATATATCATGCATTGATTGCCATCACATACATATATATAAATATTTCTTGTAATTACATGGACACTATCAATTTCATAGTGAATCGAAACATAATATATTGAATTCACCAATTATATAAATCATAAATATTTTAGATATGTCAGGAACATATGTCACTATAATCCAGATAGGAATTTGCTATGCCAGGACATATAAATCCCAACAGGATGTTGGCATTCACAAAACAAAAATAAAAATAAAAAAGTCATATTACACATAAAAAATAAATAATTAATATTCAACAGACTACACTAGCATGCAGTTGCAAAAATGAAGTAGAAGGATAGCAGAGATCTGTCCATGAGCTGTCAGGCAATAATCATTGCAAACATTGTTTTATTGGGATGGCTATGCCGTCCCATTAGAAAATATATTATACCAATTCTGTTCTTATTTGTGATGAGTTCGGAGGTGAACCAGATTATGCCCCTTTTATCATGTAGTGAAATATATATATATATATATATATATATATATAGCTTAATGTGCTCAAATTGAAATGATAAATATTGAAATGATAAATAGCATGGCCAACAAAATAGTGAATATTAATATATTAACTGACACTTCAAAGTAACAAGGACCCAACTTAGTAATAGTTCTTTAATTATGTTGTTATGAGTCAATTATTGGGGTTTAATTGAATGATTTTTGAGTTGAGACTCAACACGCTGAAATGTATCTATAATCAACTTTAATTTATATTTAAATTTGAGAAAAACACATCAAAAATTAAGTTAAGTTGGAATTGGATTAAGTTGAACATTAGACATGAGTATTTTATCACTTATAGTGATTAACAAACCGAATAATTTTTAATTCATTATTTATACTAAATACAAAGTAAGCGAAGAATCTCACTTTCTTATTTATTGTATAAATGATCAATTAAAAACAGTAGGTCTAGCAATTTACTGTAAGTAATCAATGGAAGAATCATTTTCTTCTAAAAAAAAAAAATGTCTATTAGAATGACTAAACTGTTGAAACTTGTATACCATAATAAATAAATCTACTTATATAGATTTGCAACTAATTTCTTTTTAGGATTAAAATAATAAAACTCTCATTGTATAATCTCAACACAATCAAATAACTTTCAACACTAACAAAAGTGATATTGTGAAATGACAAAATTAAATTTACTATTTAATATTAAATTAAATAACTAATTATTATTACTCATAATGATCCGCTCCTATTGCTATGTATATTTTGGATGGTACTAGTTTTATACTGCAGCATTTGTTCCTATTGCCATGCTTTATTCAGCCAAATAAAATAAATAAATATTGTTGATCAAAGATTTGTGTATGAATTTTTGTTCTTCAAAAATAAAATAATTCACCTACACCCTCTGTCTTGCCTTTTACACTGTGTCTTGTCTTAGACTCGAACCCCTGATGCAAAAGATTTCATTGAACCAAAATGATATCCACTCGTATTCTATGTATATAAACATAAAAATAAGGGAGAAAATAAGATATCACTCTCAAGCTAGTTGCAGAATAAATGCCGGGGGATCCATTGTCATGTGGGTTAGAATTGGATTTTTTTAAGAATGCTTCGTTCATTTATTCTTCTCTTCCTTTTGATCCAATTTTTTTCTTGGTACTGAACAAAGCATAAAAGGGTAAAAATTAAAGGTACAAGTAATTTGTCACATTAATCTACCATTGATCCTTGTCTTTTAGCATGATTGTTCAAATTAAAATTATCTATCATACACAAAAATCACCTTTACTCTTAAACTAAATTAATATCTCTTCGTTTCTTGATCATATGAATTATTGAGAAATCAAGGTGGTGTATGGAGATTCCTTGTATCAAAAGTTGTTCATTAAAAATCCCTTTAAGAAAGCGAGTTTGATGAAAAGAATTCAAAATAAGTAAATTGTTTGGTGAAGAATTTTATTACAGTAATTTGAGAATTTTTAATTTTTAATTTACAATTTTATCCGGCACTTAATAAGAAGGGGTCAATCAAAGTCGTGTTTTTTTGTTTTTTGTGAAGACATTCTGACTTGTGCAATGGAATATATTGTGAAAAATTTAAGTTTTTATCTAGAGAGGATTTAATTAAGTGTATCTCTATCTAATTAATTCTACTAAAATTACAGATTAATTAAAAAATCACATGCAAAATAAAAGCAAGTAAAGTTTCGAGTGACAGCGGATTTTAGCGAAAAAACCAATTGGAAAACGTCGAGATTTTGTACACTATCCAAAATGTAAAAAATCTATTATGTATGAAGCAAAGGACATTGAACTTTAACTTAGACTCAAAATCTTTCGCTCTATCAAGACTTAATCTGCTGATTGTCTATGACTTTGTAACTTTCCGTTCAACAGTTCTTGACTTCAGACTTATTCCTCGAAACCTATAGAATGATCGCTGGTAATTTAACAACACTCCACAAATGCCTTGACCCTTCAAATGTGATATGAAAATTCTTCCTACTTGAATC